CAAAGTGCTGGGATTACAGGCGTGAGCCACCACGCCCGGCCCCAGAATTTTTAATTGTTTGTAGAGATTGGGTCTCACTGTGTTGCCCAGGCTGGTCTCAAATTCCTGGCCTCAATTGATCCTCCTGCCTCCACCATCCAGCCACTCTGCCCCGCCTGGAGGTCCTATATGATGACTGTGGCAGGGGTTATATGGACATTTAAATACCATCATCAAAATTTATCAAATTGTGCATAAAAATGTGTAAATTTTGTGGCATGTAAATTATAACTTAAAAAGCTGGGAAAAAACAGACACTACAATGAAAAGAAAAAAAAGTACAGAGGCCTGTATTCCATTTGTAGCAACATAATGGTGGGATGTTATTTATTTATAACCTATGGTTCATTTAAAAAATTTACAAGTTTAATTACTTGTACATTCCGTGAAGAGAGTAATTGGTTGTCAATACAACATCTTTTCCTTTTCTAATTAAAAGGTTAGGCCAGGAGAAATGGCTCACACCTGTAAATCCCAGCACTTTGGGAGGCCAAGGCAGAAGGATCACTTAAGCTCAAGAGTTCAACACCAGCCTGGGCAACGTGGTGAGACCTCATCTCTAGAAAAGCTAAGAACTAATAGGAATTAGCCCTGCAGTTGTTGTTCTATGTAATAAACTATTGCTGAACAAGTGGGACAAGTTATTTGACCATTTTTTGTTCATATTTTTAAAAATATCTTGAAAAAATGTAGGGCAAAGTCTATGTTTTCATGATATTTCAGTTAGAGAGGAAACTCATATGATAAGTGAAATCTAACTGCAAAAAAGCTGAGGAAATAAATGATGCAGGCACTCTTACAAACTTTGGTGCTTCCTCAAAAAGCTAAATACAGTGACCATATGACCCAGCAGTTCCACCACTAGATATATACCTCAAAATTTGGAATCAAGGAGACCCTAGCAGGTACACCATGGTTCATAACAGCATTATTTACAATAGCCAAAAGATAGAAACAACCTAAGTGTCCATCAATAGATGAATGGATAGGCCAGGCACAGTGGCGCACACCTGTAATCCCAGCACTTTGGGAGGCCAAGGCAGGTGGATCACCTGAGGTCAGGAGTTTGACACCAGCCTGGTCAACATGGGGAAAATTCAAAAAAATACAAAAATGTCTCTAGTTAAAAAAAAAAAAAGTAGCTGGGTGTGGTGGCATGCACCTGTAGTCGCAGTTACTTGGGAGGCTGAGGCAGGAGAATCACATGAACCCAGGAAGTGGAGGTTACGGTGAGCTGAGATCACACCACCGCACTCCAGTCTGGACAGCAGAGCGAGACTCCATCTCAAAAACAAACAAACAAACAAAACCTAAAGAGATAGTAGTGATGGTTGCATAACATTGTGAATGTAATTAATGACAATGAATTGTATATTAAAAATGGATAAAATGGCAAATTTTACATTTATTTCATCAAAGTAAAAAATTAAGAATAGCAAAAACAAAGAAAAGAGAAAAAGAGAAAGAAAAAGAGAGAAAGATTACGTATTGCACAGCAAAACTAAATAATGGGAATTTCCTATTAGTAGATGCTACAAAACTAGCTCAGGGCAGATGTCTGCACTGGAAAAATATATAAAATTTTATGATGACTTCATCCTAGGGAAGCAAACTACCAACTAGAATCTGTCACCTTATTAGGACTCAGCTAGATATGACAAGCTGCCTTTTCTGTTTTACATGCCATACTTACTGGATGCCTAAGGGTACAGAGTTCATACAGAATGCATCCTAAGGACCAGATGTCACTGAAAGCATAAAGAAGCAATGTAATAATAAGTGGGTTATGTATTTTCTAATATAAAAAAAATTTTCTTACCTTTAATAGGAATAGATATCACAAGTAATTCCTAGGTATTAAAATAAAACATATAATTTTGCTGTAACACTTAGATACTTCCTAAGAGTAATGTTCACAATAAAACTCTCTGCTCTTCAATCCCCACCCCTTCAAATCAGGGTGGCTGACATATCACTTCAGTAGTATTTGGGAATTCAGTAGCAAGAGAGAATATTTGCGGACTCAGATGACCGCAGCTGGAAGGACTCTGGAAGGCATCCAGTGAGCTTCCACTCCGACCACCCTGGATGTAGCACCCAGCCTTTGATCACATCTCCTGCTGGGCAGCTTTCAACCTCCTGCACAGTCTGCTCCCCTGCTGGATGGCTCTCAGGGATAGTGTTCTTCCTTTTCAAAAGCCAAAATGTGTCTCTGGGAACTCTCTGCACCCCCCGAGTTAGCTCTATGTTCCAAAACAAAGAGACCAAGACTACTAATTCTTCCACAAAATAGCTCTTCAAAATCCAGAGCTTTATAGTTGGCCTCATACCCTGCACTTCTTCATGCTAAGCCTCTCCACGTTCCACCACCAATTTATCATCCTCTAGACTTTCCCTTTTTTTTTTTTTTTTTTTAGGGATGGGGTCTCACTGTGTTGCCCAGGCTGGAGTGAGTGGCTGTTCACAGGCATTATGTCACTACACTGCAGCCTTGGAACTCCTGGGCTCAAGCAATCCTCCTGCCTCTGCCCCCCAAGTAGCTGGGACTACAAGCACATACCACCACGCCCAGCTCTTCCAGACTTTTCTAGATGATATATATATTTTTAATTAATGGTTTTTAATCAACTGTTTCCCCTTTTAGTTTTTTAAAATTTCAAATCAACAGAGAGGTTGCAAATGTCCACATGCCCTTATCTAGGTCCTGCAATCATTCCCATTGGCCATGTTTGCGTGCTGATCTCCCTCCCCTATATCTATCTGAACCTCCTGAAAAAAGGTTACAGGTATCAAAGACCTCATCCCTATACACATCAGCATGGTATCTCCTAAGAACAAAGACGTACCCTTTCCCTCAGAAACACAACACTGTTACCACATCCAAACAATTTAATCTCAATTCAGTAACATTATTTAACATTTACTGCATACCCAAATTTCCCCAGTTGTCCCAATAAGACCCTGTAGAGTTGTTTTGTCCCCATTCAGTCAATTCTACTTTTAAAGAAACCTGTTTAGTATAGACTGTCATACCCTTTTCAGAAAGCAAGTCAGCAAAAAGTAACACAGCCTTTAGGTGTTTCTACTTCTAGGAATCCATGCCAAGAATGTGACACAAAACAAGGACATATTTATATACAAAAAGGTATGTTACTCACAGCACTGCTTATGATACTGAAATCTAGAAATATAAGGCCAACAACAGAGGAATTACTAAGTAAATTTTGGGAGGGCCATATAGTAAAATAAAGGCAGTCATTAGAAAATTTATGAAGAGTTTAAGTATGTAGGGAAATGATTATTATGATATTAAATGACAAAAGCAAATTATACATAAAATATATCAACTAGTTTTAGGGAGGAAAAGTGAATGGATGAAGAAAAAAATATCAAAATGTTATTAGCAGTTGGGAAATGTAGGCGATTTCACCATGTCCTTTCTTACAGGTCTACTTCCAATCTTCCCTGCACATCCATCCCCGCGATGGGCACATATAACTTATGTTCAGAAAAAATACTGCATTTTAAATCATTAAGATCTTCTAGGTATTATAGTCTTATGGGACCACTGTCATATATGCCATCTGTTCAGAATCCATTATCTATCAACCAAGTGCTTAAAATCTATCCCTGTAAATACTAACTCAATGACACAATCTATTGATTCTCAAATGTTGCTGTATATTAGAATCAACCAGTGATCTTGAAAAATTACTAGCGCCTGCTCCCCATCCTTTGTCATTTTGATTTAATTAGTGTAGACACAACCTGGGCTTTGGGATTTCTTTTCTTTTTTTTTTTAAATAAGACAGGGTTTCACCCTGTTGGCCAGGATGGTCTTGATCTCTTGACCTCGTGATCCGCCCGCCTCAGCCTTCCAAAGTGCTGGGATTACAGGCATGAGCCACTGTGCCCAGCCAGCTTTGGGATTTTTTAAAGTGGGAACAGCGAAGTTTGGGAACCGCTGATATAATTCATACCATCCCTAGAAATGACTAGCCTTTCTTTTAGCATTTGCTCCTCTCAGCTACAATTAGTAGCAATTTGAAAACTATTACTTTCATCTAGCAGCCTAGAAATATACATTAGCAATATAGATTCCACACTGCTTTCAGATATACTTTTTAGAAAGCAAATGATCCATGCATCTGCTTTGAAGTGATGTCAGAGTGTAGCATCATTTGCAGGCTACAATGCCTGTCACCAAATGGGCACCCTTGCAGCAGATATGCACCACTCACCTTTTATTGTTATAAGGCAGGTTTTCCCAAATTTCTGGAGGCACATAATAAGGTGTTCCCACATATGTACAAGCAAATGCCATCGGACTAAAACCATAAAAAGGCAAAGAATGGTTACAGAGCATTCCTGAAAATGGATGTCCTGATCACTGTCACTACCCTAGGACAGAGATACACACTTAGAGAGAAGACAGACAAATCCAAAGTCTTCCAATTTCACTTTTCCATTTTGAGTGAGGACGACATTCTTCATTTTAAAAAGAAGAACTCAGATTATGTTTTCCATCATTGAACATGAGGCAGGTAACTGTCTTCCAAAGCCTGCTGATGATGGAGATTAAGGGTAGAAATGCTGACAGCTGAGTCCCAGAGTGAAACACGAAACATCAAGATCCCCTCTTGACAGCTACACATTCCCCTGCTTGGAAACTCAGGATGAGTGCTTTGAAATCTAACAAGCAAGTTTTAGGTTGTACTGGCAGACCCAATTGACCCAGCGAGAACCTGTGTCAGGGTGATGCCACATGGCAGGCCCAAGTGTCAACCGTTTTTCATCTGAGAACACATGGACTTAGCAAGTAGTCACTAAAAGAGAGCTAGGACACATTAACATACACAGTCACGTGCCACATTTCAGTCAACAACAGATGGCATATATGACAGTGGTCCCATAAGACTATAATACCATATTTTTACTGTACTTTTTCTACATTTAAATACACAAATACTTACCACTCTATTACAATTGCCCAAGGAATTCAGTACAGTAACATGCTGTACAGGTTTGTAGCCTAGAAGCAACAGGCTACACTCTATAGCCTAGGTGTAGTAGGCTATACCATCTAGGTTTGTGTAAGTGCACTCTACGATGTTCACATGACAAAATCACCTTACGATGCATTTCTGAGTACTTATCTCCCTGTCTTTAAGTGATACATGACTGTACTACTACAGAGATTTCAATGGCTTTTTCTCAGGTATTACCTTATTTGGTTAGCATAAATATTAAGTCAAAGGGTACAAAGTTTCAGTTAGGACAAGTAAGTTCCAGTGATCTGCTGTACAACATAGTGACTACAATTAATAATAATGCATAGAATACTTAAAAAGTGATGAGAGTAGATCTTAAATGTCCTCACCACAAAAAAAAAATATGTGAGGTGATAGAGATATATTAATTACCTTGATTTAATAATTTTACAATGTGTGTATGTATATAAATATATAAAACATGTGTACATCATAAATATACATAATTTTTGTGAATTATATTTTAATAAAGGTGGGGGAAACTTTAATTTGAAAAACAAATATTAGGCTGACAATTTTTCTTTTTTTTTTTTTGAGACAGAATCTTGCTCGCTCTGTCACCCAGGCTAGAGTACAGTGGTGCCATCTCAACTTACTGCAACCTCTGCCTTCCGGGTTCAAGTGATTATCCCACCTCAGCCTCCTGAGTAGCTGGGATTACAGGCATGCACCACCATGCCTGGTTAATTTTTGTATTTTTAGTAGAGACAGGGTTTCACCATGTTGGTCAGCTGGTCTTGAACTCCTGACCTTGTGATCTGCCCTCCTTGGCCTCCCAAAGTGCTGGGGTTGCAGGTGTGAGCCACCGGGTCTGGCCTTAAATATTTCCAAATTAAACAAAAATGTCCCAAAATGCATGGGATAACACAGCAAAATGAATTAAATAGTTTATTATTATTATTATTATTTTTTGTCACCCAGGCAGGAATGCAGTGGCACAATCTTGTCTCACTGCAACCTCCACCTCCCAGGTTCAAACAGTTCTCCTGCCTCAGCCTCTGGAGTAACACAGGGTGCCTGATATTGCGCCCAGCTAATTTTTGTATTTTTAGTAGAGACAGGGTTTCACCATGTTAGCCAGGCTGATCTTGAGCTCCTGACCTCATGATCCATCCACCTCAGCCTCCCAAAGTGCTGGGATTATAGGCATGAGCCACCACATCCCGCCTAGTTTTAAGTCTAAAAATGTACTCCACTCACCTTGAACTTGATATCTCTACGTAGCACACATTTCCTGTGAATGTGATTTACTCCAAGGCACATGTGGCTAAACCAATTAAGTATCTGTAAGAAAAAAGTATGCAAAGTCTTCAAACATGCGGTAACTGACTCATGTTAACCTAAAATTTCAAAGAATCATGTCTAGACCTTAGTCGACCAGGATTTTACATAATGTGAGTACAGACTCCTGTAAGTTACATAGTTCAACTAAGATTCAGTGTTACTTGGAGAAATTCAGAAAAGCCGTGATTTCCATTTTCCATCATCTTATGTGTGATCCAAATAGCAATTTATTTGAGCAAAACTTCCACTAGTTTTCTTATATTCAGCCAAATAAAAGTATTTCTTAAATGCTTATATAAAGGTAGTTCACCAATAAGAAATATATTACAGCTTTTCTAGTGTTACCATTATGTTGGATTTTCATTTACTTTTGCAGAATATCCATATAAGATTTCATTATATTATAAATAATCCTTCAAGGTCAACATTTCCTGCTTATAAATCCAAGGTCAACAGTATCCAGAATTTCTAGGTGTCTTGGGGGCCTCCTATTAAATGTCAAACTGATCTTTTTTTCACTTTTGCTGTGGAGATTCTTCCAGTTAAAGCCAAGGTTGAATTCCTTATTTTTAACAATACAATTTCTAAATGAAGAATATGTATTTACATTTATAACATGCTATAACCTAAATCAAACTAAGCCTCATTGGAGCAATTTAAATATTTTCCATAGACAATTCATTAAAAAATATTTAGTATGCAATTTTCCACAAAAAAGGCAGCAAGTCTTAGACTGAAGGGACCACTTCAAGTTTTAGAAGGAAAAAGATTGACAATAGGTACTCCCAAGAAACAGAAATGCCAAGCTTCATTCTTCTGATTTCAGTAAAACAAAATAAAATAAATCTGGCTTCTAAAATTTCAGTACGATAAAAATCAAGGTTTTAAATATCTAGTATAAAATTTGGTGATAAAATCTTGAAATTATTCTAAACATGCTTTTCCTTAATAATTTATAACCTATAGATTTTACTTCCTAAAACCATTTCAGGCAGCGGTATTCTGAGGACACTAAGTGGTAACACCAATGCAGAAATCAGTCATTTCTATCTACCTTCTCGAGTAATTACAGATATCAATGCTTTTAACTTATACAAAGTTTATGAGAAAAGTGGCTTCCACACCTTGAGAGAAGCTATGTAAGTCAATCTCTTACCATGTCTTCAGGAAATAACTTTCCTTTTTGCTGTTTAATCTTTTGCATTAGATCCCCTCCATCACAGTATTCCATTACAATATACAAGTGTCCTTCAGCTAAAATAGACACAAGCTCTTTAGAAAAGCTGTAGTGGCTACAAATCAAATTCAGAAATGCACATACCTGGGGGAATTCGTATTTACCTTCAAAAGATTCTTTGAAGGCAACAATATTGGGGTGTTTCATTTTGGCTAAAAGAACAGCCTCCTTCCTAGAATTCTGTGTATTGGAGAAAGACTAGAAAAACATTTTTAAAAAGCACAAATTTAATACTGCATTTTAAAATAGATAACTTTATAATAATATAGTTTATATTATACTTCAATGCTAGATCCAGTTTTATAACATTTTGGCTCAATTTAAGTTTGTCAAATGACAAGAGAAAACTTGCCTGGTGATTTTTCAACTCTGGCTATATTTTCATGCTTGAGCTGACCCCTTCATTATATTTTTATTTTCTTTTTTCATTCCTTACACAGTCAGAATGTTAAATAGTTTTAATATCAGCCTAAGCATCATCTGACTTAGAGAGCCAGTATACCATCAAAAATAGTATACCTTTTTCTTGATAACTTGTAATATAGAAAAAAAAAGAAAAAGACACTTTTTTATCCTAAAAGAAAAAAAGGGGGGATTTCATGTTTTGACTGTCTGCATCACTTATGAGTCCACTGGTCCAGATAAAAAAATAATATGCAGGTGTATTACTGCATCAAGGATGAACAAAGATGGCATGCAAAGTAAGTTTCCAAAACTGTTTATCCCTAATTTATTCTATAAGAGTGAAATTCTGAATGATTTATCTTACAATCAAGAAATTGCTGGCCAGGCGTAGTGGCTCACACCTGTAATCCCAGCACTTTGGAAGGCCGAGGTGGGCGGATCACCTGAGGTCGGGGGTTCGAGACCAGCCTGACCAACATGGAGAAACCCCATCTCTACTAAAAAAATAAAATTAGCTGGGTGTAGTGGCACATTCCTGTAATCCTAGCTACTTGGGAGGCTGAGGCAGAAGAATTGCTTGAACTCGGGAGGCAGAGGTTGTGGTGAACCAAGATTGAGCCATTGCACTCTAGCCTGGGCAACAAGAACAAAATTCCATCTCAAAAAAGAAAAAAGAAAAGAAAGAAATTGCCATTGTTAGTTGGGTATGGTGGCTACCCTTCCCAGTGGCGGGGACTACACTATACCTATAGTCCCCACCACTGGGGAGGCTGAGGTAGGAAGATCACTTGAGCCCAGGACTTCGAGCTGCAGTGAGCTGTGATCATGCTACTCCATCCAGCCTGGGCAATAGAGCAAGACCCCTTCTATAAATTTAAAAAAAGAAAAGAAACTGCCATTGATTGTGTAGTAACACATGGGTTCTCAGACCAGCAGCAGCAGCAGCACCAACTGGGAACTTGTTAAACATGCAAATTCACAAGCCCACCTGGACCTACTCAGTCAGAAGCCTGGGGGTGGAGCACAACAATCCGTGTTTTAACAAGCCCTCCAGATGATTATGATGCCCACTCAAGTCTGAAAATCACTGAACGAAGTCAAGAATCCAGTGGGAAAAGAATGCCTAGCACTCTGAGAACTTTATTGGAATGTATTTTTTTAAAAAATGATCCAAAATATTATTAGTCTACATGTAGTGAATTCTTTCATAGGACAACTATGATACACAGTAATAGTCTACAAAGAAATAAAACCTATAAACTGATCCACACAGTAGGTTTCCTGGTATCAAAGGTTAGCCTTTGTTCTTCATTGTCTTTTTATGATCCTTTTTCATTAATGTTGCACCTGAGTTGCTTTGGCAAAGATTTCCTACACCATTAGGTATACAAAAGTGGAAATTATTACCAATTATTTGCTGAAATAAAGTTATCAATAATCACCACTAAAACTTTTATTACTTTTCTCCCATTGTTAATTATAATATCCTAAGAAGCACATATAATGTATCTAGCCCTTGTAAAGCTAACAAATAAACCAATTACATCTTTTGCATGAAGGAGAAATTCCATGTTAAATCTCAAAAATAAATTTATTTATTTAGAGATGGTCTTACTTTGTCACCAAGGTTGGAGTGCAGTGGCGTGATCTTGGTTCATTGCAACCTCTGCCTCCTAGGTTTGGGTGATTCTCCTGCCTCAGCCTCTCAAATAGCTGGGACTACAGGTGCATACCACCACACCTGGCTAATTTTTAAAAATTATTTTTACTAGAGATGGGTTTTCCCTGTGTTGCCTAGGCTGGTCTCAAACGTCTGACCTCAGGTGATCTGCCCACCTCCACCTCCCAAAGTGCTGGGATTACAGGTGTGAGCCACCGTGCCTGGCAAAAAACTTATTCTTTTATACAAATTGGGTGTATACTTTCAAAGTGAGCTAACTTCTTTAGTAGTGACCTTGTGAAGCCTTATTTCTTTCATAGCAAACATCTGATTACTGCTTTCCTGCTGAAACAAAAGAGCTCTGCCGAAGGAGCCCTCCCCAATCTCTCTCCGGACCATGTAGTCATCCATGCTGGGGCATCCACACAGCTGGGCTCCACTTGCACAGTCACATGGGCTCTCCCAAACTGCATTCAAAAGCAGAAACAGCTGAGAATTAAACGTACTTTCAGAAAGCAGAAATTAACTCAAAGTTGCTCTCATAACCATGATAAGAAACAAGCAACTTGTTCCTTTTGAAGAGGATCAGCATATGCCATCCCTAAATATTCCACTTTTGTGTAAGAATTGTTTTGAGCTGAAACCATTTTGCTCTTTGCCCTCCCTTTTTTGTATAAATGCAGGGCATAAAATTTCCTATGTATAGGTAATAAATATCCATTTGTAAATGTGTCTTCCTCTCCAGTACCAGGAAAAGGAGAGCAACCCTTACTAATGGGGAAGGCACCAACTTGAGTCCACATAACAAACCTTACTGAATAACCCTTATCTTCTGCTAGCTTCCCCATATATTTACCTTCCTACAATTTGCCCAAGAAACATTCCCCTACCTTTGTCTAGTTATTCTCCACAATTTTCACTCTTTGTTAAAATGGCATATGAGCCCCCGGTCTAACCACTTCTTTACATTTATGCATAAACCTTTTTTCCTGTTAATATATCTCTCATCAGTTTATTTTGCAGGGCCCAGCCACTGAACCTAAGAGGGTAGAGAAAAAATGTTTTTCCTCCTCTATACTGTTCATTCAACAGGTAGACACTGAGCACCAACTCTGAGTCAGATGTTAGAGTCTGAACAAATCTCTCATGGTCCCTGCCATCGTGGACATCCAATGCAGAGAGACAACCACAAGCCTCAACAAATGTAGGCTATTTAAGCTGAAGCCTGAAGGAGGAATGAAAGTTGGCTAGACGAAGGGGAGGAAAAGAATAATCAAGGAAGAGGAAATTGCATATTTAAGAGCTAAAGAGATTACATTCAGTTCAAGAAATGGAAAAAATGTAACAGGCTGCTGAAGCATTTAACCAAGAAGGCAATGTAATCATATTTGCATATTAGAAGAAACATTCACTCAGATGGCAGATTAAATGGACCAGTGGAGGAGAGGCAGGAAGGCCAGCTCGGAGATGTAGGCCAGTTTGGAGGCTTCAACAATAGAAAAGGCAGGAAAATAATGAAATGGAATAGGGTGGAGGCAATGGGCCAGAAAAAATGGCAAGGAAAGATGTCAGAGGAGTTGACAGGATTCTTGGTGTCAGATTTATGGGGGCAAGCAGAGAAGGGGCAAGGTTGACTCCCAGGTTTCTGGCATGAACTGGATGGTTTCTGGCACTCCCTGAGAGAGGAAACGCACTATGGTTGTGTGTGTGTGGTTTTTTGTTTGTTTGATTTTCCTGGCAGTGGGAGTGCTGCAGGTTGGGGCAAAACATGGGGGGAAGAGAGACATGTGTTTCATTTTGGACCTGCTGAGTTAGGGGCTCCTGGGAGTCAAGAGACATGTTAAACATACAGTTGGAGTCCTTGACTTCAGTCTCCTCATCTATATTTTCAGGGTGAAGCAGCTTATAGGACTACTTAGCACATAAGAGAAAATGGATAAAACTTTCCTAACACTTTGCCTGGTACATAGAAGGTCCTGAATAACTGGCAGCTATTATGATTACTAAAACCTTAGAAAAGTGATGCATTCTTCATGAGGTCAGGAGTTCAATACCAGCCTGACCAACATGTTGAAACTCCGTCTCTACTAAAAATACAAAAATTAGCTGGGTGTGGTAGCACGCACCTATAGTCCCAGCTACTCAGGAGGCTGAAGCAGGAGAATTACTTGAACCCGGGAGGTGGAGTTTGCAGTGAGCCAGGATCATGCCACTGCACTCCAGCCTGGGCAACAGAGCCAGGCTGTCTCAAAAAAAAAAAAGAAAAAGAAAAGTGATGCATTCTCTTTCATTGCAGGGAAAACACTGGAATGAATTTACTTATTTTTCAAAAAGCTTATAGTGTTTGTTTTCTAATCATACCACAAAGAATTATAAGGCAGAAAGAGCATGACAGCCAAAGCAAAAATCAAACTAAAACCTCTGCTACAGTGACCTGTAAAACTTGCAGTTTGTATTCCTGCTTATCACAGAATTAATAGGAAATCCTAGAAATAATCTCTTCATATAACCAAATCATACACATTGTCTTCGAAACAATTTTTTTTCCAAGAACGATGAGGTCTTTGAATGTATATAGACGTGAGAGAAACAAGCCCTTTTACCTCTATTCTAACACCTGGCATTACACGATTTCACATGGAAGCCAAATTTCCCCATGTTATTATTCTTCATTTCTTCGGGGCTTTATTGTGTGCAACGGAGAGTAACTAAAAAATAAGAGCAGCCAGACTTCTTAGCTGAAAATCACATTTGATCTTTTCTGTCCACATTTGCCTGTTACTCAGTATTACACCTATATGACCATTACAAGACCTGAATAACTCTGAACGTGGCAAAATTCAGATGCCTGCAACTTCGCATGCCTGCAACAATAGTTTTAAAAAACCTGATAGATTTGCAAATACCCAGAAGTGGGATCACCGGTGAGAGATGGGCTAAGTTCAGAAAGTGCCCTGAAACCACCTTTGCGGATTTATAAATAATGAGAGAAATCTAGCATGACTGACTCCATCTTGCTTCTAACCTCACAGGCTAATAAGTTACTGTGTTGTTTTCTTATTCTGGCACAGAGGCTAGGATACCTACGAGAGGGATTTTGTGTAAACTTGGAGGTAAAGGAAACTGACCCCACCCCCTTCCTGAGAACCCCTGAAACCTCTCCGAGTTGCAGAGGCTCCTGTGATTTCGTTCCCAGACTGCCAATTGTTTCAGCTCCCCAGCGCCCTGCCGCCAAAATACTCTTTAAAAAATCTGGCCCCGGAATTCGAGGGGAGACAGGTCTGAGGTTCCTGGAGTAGCCGGGCCTAGGAAGAGCACGTTTTAAAGCTGCTGTTCCACGTTGCAGTGAAACAATGCTAATAATATTGAGGGAAAGTGTCCCCCACTAAGTAGCTGAGTTCTGTCTGCAGTTTAAGTGAAAGTCTATGTAGACAAGTTTCACAGGCACAGCACTCAGTGCTAGCTAGTATGTACTAGCTGCGTGACCTTGGGCAAGTGTGGAAGGCAGAATAATGCCCCCACCTCCATCCCTCAGGATGTCCACATCCTACTCCTTCGAACCTGTGCCTTTGTTCTCTTGCTTGGCGAAGGAGAATAAGATTGCAGATGGAATGAAGGTTGCTAATCAGCTGACTTTAAAATAGGGAGATGCTCTTGGAGTATGCAGGTGGGCCCAAGGTAATTGCAAGGGGTCTCTAAAGTGGAAAAGGGCCCTAAAAGGTGGTCAGAATCAGAAAGCTATTTGAAGGTAGAGGAGGGGGCAACAGCCAAGGAATGCAGCTGGCCTCAAGTAGTTGGAGGGGCAGGCACAGTGTCTCATGTTTGCAATCCCAGTGCTTTGGGAGGTAGAGGCGGGAGCCCAGGAGTTCAAGATCAGCCTGAGAAATAAACATAGTGAGACCCTTGTCTCTACGAAAAATTGGCTAGACATGGCGGCAGGAGCTGTGGTCCCAGCTGCTCAGGGGACTGGGGCAGGAGGATCACTAGAGCTGGGGAGGGCTCATGATCCCACCACTGCAGTCCAGCCTTGGTGAAAGAGAGAGATCCTATTTAAAAAAAAAAAAAAAAAAAAAAGGAGCTGGGAAGGAGAAGGAGAAGCCAGAAAAGGAAAAGAAAACAAATTGTCCCTTAGAGCTTCCAGAAGTAACAGTCCAGCTGACACCTTTTTTTTGTTTGTTTTGTTTTTTTTGTTGTTTTTTTTTGAAACAGGGTCTTGCTATGTTGCCAGTACTGGTTTTGGGCTCCAGCGATCCTCCCACCTCAGCCTCCTGAGTGGCTGGGATTACAGGGAAGCACCCCATGGGTGCTGACATCTTGATTTTAACCCAGTGAGCTGTGTTTCTGACTTTCAGAACTGTGAGATAATAAATTTGTGTCGTTTTAGCCATTTAGGTTGTCATAGTTTGTTACAGCAGCCTTAAGAAACTAATACAGCAGAGTAACTAAACCCCTCTGTATAAAATAATAGAACCTACCTTATAGGATTATTGTGATCAATATCTGGTTATGATTTACTATAAGCACTGAACATGTTAATTATAACGTGTTAATCTGAGTCACAGAGACTGAAATGCAATAAAAGAAGTTTATTGGCAGTCTTAGAATTGAAATTCAAGGAACACAGATTCCAGAAGCATTTGAATTGTGTCCTGACCAGCTATTTTTGGGTAGGGTTTTTAAAGAAAATAAGAAGTTAGTTCTCACTAGCTCATGCATAACCCACCATTTTCATTGAAGATAAAGCATTATCGTGACAGTTCATTGGTTTCTAGGCAAAAGTCCTTGATTCAGGGTTATGGGAAAAGTTCCGTCCTCAGCATAAAGTCCTTTTCATAAGTGGCAGCTGTTTTGTCTACAACATCAACATTAGATAAATTTTTTTGGTATAAACAATGGAATACCGCACACAAAATGAATGAACTACATCCATACACGGATAAATATATCAAAAACAATATTTTTAAGATAATTTAATCTTGACTGAAAGGTACCAGATATAAAAATGCAATAATGTATGATTCTACTTAGAGCAAATTAAAAACAAACTAATTTATGAGATGGTGGTAATAGAGACTATTTTCGGGAGGTGACACTTTTGGGGTGCTGGTAAAGCAGTTTTTTTTATCTAGGTGGTGGTTATATAGGTGTGTTCATTTTGTAATAATTCATGGAAAGCCTATGTGTATGCTATACCTGAATTTAAATGTTAAAAAAATGCTGCCACTTAATTTGCTATCATCTTGTTTCCATAATTTTGTCTTTCAAATAGACTCAAATGTTTATGGAGCCCTATTAATACGCCAGGGACTATGCTAGGCATTAAGGATACCCAAAGAGCCTTATTTATTTATTGAGACAAAGGCTCACTCTGTCACCCAGATTAGAGTGCAGTGGCGCAATCTTGGCTAGACCTCCTGGGTTTAAGTGATCCTCCCACCTCAGCCTCCTGAGTAGCTGTGGCTACAGGTGTGTGCCACCATGCCCAGCTAGTTTTTAAATTTTTTGGAGTTTCACCATGTTGGCCAGACTGGTTCTGAACTCCTGACCTCAAGTGATCCACCCACCTCAGCCTCCCAAAGTGCTGGGATTACAGGTGTGAGCTACCACGCCGGCAAGAGCCTTCTTTACTTAGCGAAGAAGATTGCTTAATAAATACTTCTTGGTTATATTGCTTGCCTGTTTTGTTATATCCTACATAAAACAAACTCTTAGGGGATAGAACTAGCTACTGAGCTACTGGTGTTTCTACCACAGTTCTAAGCATTGGTTCTTGCAACTATTGCGTCTGGCCACTTCACTTCTAACCCTTTGGGTCAGTCACAAGACCCCCAAATAGTTCTCCAGGGATGGCTCAGGGAGAAAAATCAATGCATGGTAGCTGGGGTGGGATGGTGGCCTCTTGGGACATTACAGCACTCCCGTTCTGACCTGCTGGATCTACTCTTATTTCCCTGATTCTAAACTCCTCACTCCATCCCGCAGCCCGTTAGTCCCTTACTCTGGTCCTTGCCCAACATGGCATTTTTCGTTACTGACCCTGTTGACCACCTATTCTTTCTCCTTCCATTTGGATTCAACTCTTTGGTGGTGATGTGAGCAGGGACGTTAAGTTAGTGAACTGCCGTAAGTATTTGTAAACCCAGTATACAAAA